ACCTCTGGGTCTTCAAGGGCTATTATATGGAAGTACCCCTGGGCCCTGAAGGGCTATTATATGGAAATACCCATAGGTCCTCAAGGGCTTTTAGATGGAAGTACCTCTGGGTCCTCCGGAGCTATTATATGGAAGTACTCCTGGGCCCTCAAGGACTATTATATTGAGGAAGGCACAGGTCCTCAAGGGCTATTGTATTGTGGTACCCATAGGTCCACAATGGCTATGAGTCTATAAGGGAGCAGGAGATGAGGATGTAAGGAGATAAGGGTAAAGCGAATAAGAGGCTAAGGGTACATGGGCATAAGGGATGAAGCTAAAAGAATATAAGGGGATAAGGGTATATGGTATAAATGGATAAGGCGGAAAGGATATAAAGGATAAGGAAATAACGGAATAAGGCTATAAGAAGTACTGCAACAAGAGTATGAGTCTACAACGGTATCAGGCTGTACGATCTCTATATATATATATGATGCGGACTGGGTTTTTGCCTGTTTCCCAATCAAGGCTAAAGGACGGAAGTGAAGCTTCACAGGAAAAAAAGCATCCGTGCAGTATGCACGGGCTCTCGCTAGTCATTCATAATTATTTATTTAGTTTTCTGTACTTCATCATGCATTTTTTTTGGCAGTAATAAAATATCTTCATCGCAATGATTGAGAATGTTAAATTAACCTTTTTTCAACGTTTTCATATGATCGCCATTTTTTCTTTCGCTATAAAGCCTTTCGTCATTTTTTCTATTAGCCGTATTCGTTTCGTCATTTTTTTCTTCGCCATTTTTTTCTCGACATTTTTTCTTTCGCTATTTTTTCTTCGCTATTTTGTTTTTCGCTATTCTTTCATTCGCTATTTTTTCTTTCGGCCAATTTAATGCCATTCATCTCAACTATAGACGTACCTTAGTTTTCGCGGAATCCAGTAATGATATTTTCTCTCTTTTCGATGGATGTCGGCAAATGGCAACATTTTGCCGTAGGGGGTGATACGGCATTTTTTGAATAGCCGGTTCAAAAGGGATTATCCAAAATTAACTCTATAATCAAGCATTTTGTCCTTGATACATAAGTAGTGTTGCTAGTATAGAACAATTAAGAATTTACCGGCGCAGCGACAGTTGAGCCTGGGACAGTTGAGCCCCGACAGTTGAGCCCCGACATCTGAGCCCACCGACAGTTGAGCCCCCGATAGTTGAGCCTTTTATATATAGTTTTGGCCAAAATTAGTCATAAACTATTTGTACATTGCTCACTACGATTCAATAACACACTACATAATGCTATATATAACTTATTAGTGATTTTCCTCGCTCAGTACATCAGCGACTCTTTTCTAAAGAACTAAAAAGAATTCTTAATATTTGATTAGTAATTCACTGGGCGAATAATACACATATCTGAACAAAGGAAACGCGTACAATCATTCTTCATATATTTCTTCTCAAGTATATCGATTATACAGTCATCAAGAGATAAAGATGAAATTTTATTTGATGGGTTCCGATATCGACGAGCTAATA